TCATTAACACCTAGAACTCCACACTAAATTGTTTCTTGTGCAAAATGAAGGATGTGTGACATGTTTAAGATGTTACAGTCCAACTTGCATGTTCTTGTTCTAAAATGTGACGTCATGTTTTACCCTATTTGTCATTTGATGAGGTGTTTTTGACTTGTCACAGTAGTTTTTCCTACTCAGGCTTTGTAACGTTAATAACATTAACTCCTGATCAATTGTTTCAGTACATCATGAATTTTGATTCTAAAATACCAACACTGAGTTCTTACAGGGCTGTAAGGTGGATCAGTGGTTAGCACTGTTGCCTCGCAGCTAGAAGAGCCCCGGTTTGCATCCCGGTTAGGACGCCTGTGATCTTTCTGTGTGGAGTTTGCATGTTCTCCGGGTTCTCCAGCTTCCTCCCACACAGTCCACAAGCATGTTGAGGTTAATTGGTGATTCTAAATTGTCCGTAGGTGTGAATGTGAGTGTGCTTGGTTGTCTGTCTCTACAGTTGTCCTCAAATGTATTCATACCCTCCCATTAAAGAAGGAAAAAAAAACCCAGCTGTCACTGAAATAAGTTGAAATTGACAAAAGCAATAACAAATGAAAGTTTCATGAAAATTATGACATTGCTTTTGAATTGTGGTTCAACAGAAATATTTTAAAACAACAACAACAACAAAAACAAGCAAACAAGCATGATAGGACCCGTAAACTAATATTTTGTTGAACAACCCTTTGAGCCAATCACTGCAATCAAGTGTTTTCTGTAGCTCTCAGACTTCTGCACCTGTTGACAGGTATTTCTATTTTGGCCCACTGCTCATCAACAAAGTGCTCTAATTTATCTGGAACAGTTTTGGGTTTTTTTTCTAATTATTCTTTCCAACCACAATTCAAAAGCAATGTCATATTTTACTATATTTTAATTTAGCAAATTTTTATTTATTATTAATTTTTTCAGTTTCTAGTCATTTAAGTGACTATTGTGAATTTTGCCTTTTCTTTAATGGAAGGATATGAATACATTTGGGGACGACTGTAAGTGTAGCCCTGTGATAGACTGGTGACCTGTCCAAGGTGCCTTCGCCCTAAGTCGGCTGGGATAGACTCCAGCCCCCCNATAAGTACAAAATAAAGAGCAAAAAATGAAAAATAGAGGAGATTTAAGTATAAAAAATCTGATAAGTTATATATACAGAAAAATATTGCACATCATGGTATTGCACATTTGGGGGGGGCTGGGGTGGACTTGATGTCATTGCGTTTGTGAGTTCAGAGTGGTGATGGCTTTTGGGAAGAAGCTGTTCTTGAGTCTGTTTGTTTTGGTTCTGATGCACCTGTAGCGCCTCCCTGAGGGCAGCAGGTCAAACATGGCAGAACCAGGGTGGGAGTTGTCCATGATGATGTTTTTCGCTCTACTGAGGGAGCGGGAGGTGTAGATGTCCATCAGGGAGGGGAGAGGGCAGCCGATGATCTTCTGGGCTGCCTTTACAACTCTAATTAATGTTGTATTGCCAAACACCAGGGATGCTTAGCAGAAACTACCAAGAATTTGAGCTAGCTAGCTGGGTGGCTAGTGCTACAGCTAGCCAAACTAAGGTCATTAGCTTAACATGATATCAGTTAGTTAGCCTTTTACACAGATAATAATACATTTTTGCTGCTGGCAAGCGATTATGGTATCATATGATATTTTGGTTTAGATAACCCTAATGTTTACTTTCTTTTTATCTTGCAAAGGACCACACCTCAGCAAACCCTGTCGCCAACACACCTCCAGTATGACTGCAGCTATCTGCAACTGCAAACATCAAAGTTTTGTTCAAATACTTTGTCACCCACACAAGCTGCACTGATAACACAAACATGCAAAAAGAAAACAGCACAATTTCTTGATAGTAATATAAAACCCTGTTGTAACAGCCAGAGTGACTTTGCACCAGGACCCTCACTCTGTCTTGCATGTGTTTTGTTCCTGAAAAAAGGCCATTTCAGTCCAAGATAGTCAAAAAAAAGGAGATGTAGATTTTCTTCTTCAAGGACAAATGGCAGGACAAATCTCATTATCAGTGGGAGTGCTTATCTTCATCTGCTCTTTGTCCTTGTAACAGGATCAGTCATATAGCAGCAGTTTCATATTAAATATATATTGTTTTATTANAAAACTGCCCCGTTTTTAAACCAACTTGGTATTTTCTAGTACAAATAACTTTAAAAATACCAGTGGAAGTTATGTAGCCTTCTAAGTTCGGACATAGCTTTTCGATTGAACCTTTATCATTATTAACGCAAGTTTTTATTGTAATGTTCAGAACTGTAAAAATAGTTCAATAGTTTATTAATCTCAAAAAATGCAGGAGTATGTTTTGATGTAATTTTATGACTCAATCACATGAATCCTTTGTGTTGCCTGAACATAAAATGAAAAGACTACAAGTATCACCAGTGTTCTGCTGTACAATTGTTTTTTTTTCTTTGTCAGACCAAGTCAGTAAAAGACTGGAAGTTCTGTGGGATTCTAAGTACAGAAACAGTTTTTCAGATGTGTGATTATACAAGTTTAGTTTCCTTATGATTCAATATTGAGTCAAACTTAATGTTATAGATTTTTCCACTGAACTTTTAATAAGAGCAGAAAGGGAGTTTAGATAAACAGCATGAAGACAGATGGTGTTATTTAATCCTAGAGGAGATAAAATGTTGGAAATGGGTTGCTGTGTCAACAATGGGAAATAATCAGACCCCTCCTTTCTCTACTGCTTACATAAGCCTGACTCAGTAAAAGGAAGTCTGTATAAGAGTCACTTTAAGCATTGCAATGTAATAAAGACAGTTTATGTTATAGTTGCTTTAAATGGCTGTAGTCCATGTATCATGACAAACACATGTATGTGTCTCTAACAGCAACTTTCACTTGTTTTTCTCGTATAAAATGTTAGCTGTTTGCCAGTTTCTTTAAAACAAACAAACAACAACTCAGATTTCTCCTGAAAATCTGCAGAAATTTCCCCTTCAGATCAAACCTGGATTTTGTCCACGTTCCTGGCGCAGCCCACCACCGTCATCCCGTGGCGGACCAGCTCTTTGGCTACGGCCGCCCCGATCCCGACCGNGACTTAGGGTGAAGGCAGGGGACACCCTGGACAGGTCACCAGTCTATCACAGGGCTACACTTAGAGACAGACAACCAAGCACACTCACATTCACACTTACGCAGTTTAGAATCACCAATTAACCTCAACATGTTGTTGGACCTTGTGGGAGGAATTCGGTGAACCTGGAGAGAACCCACGCTGCACGGGGAGAACATGCAAACTCCACGCAGAAAGATCCCAGTGCCCCCACCAGGACGCGAACTGGTGACCTTCTTGCTGCAAGGCCACAGTGCTCAGTGCTACCAACTGCGCCACCTTGCGGTCCATACAGGAATTATTTTGTTTATTTGAAACTGTGTCATGTCTGTCAAGTTTCTGTTCATGTCTGCACATTATGTTTCGTCTTTCCTGTTTTATTTTGAAATCACTTCACTGGGTGTTTTGTTCCAGTTTTACTTCCTGTACCTGTCTTGTCTCACCTGTTCCCTGATTACCTCCCCGCACCTGTTTCCCATCTACCCTCATTACCTCCTGTATTTTACCCTGTGTGTCTCACTGTCTCATCGGCAGTTCATTGCACTTCACAGTCCTCGTACCAGCGTTATTCTAGTGATGGGCAGATGAAGCCTCATGAAGCCTTGAAGCGTTCCACCTAATTGGTTCAAAAAAAAGGTTCATTTCTCGAGGCTTCATGTGCACACAAGCCCCCCTACTGGTCAAAAAGTTTATTGTCATTTCAACTACTTGTGATGGCCTCTTGGCTGTCTTGCAACAGTGTCAGCATGGGAATAATCAGTGCCAAGGACAGAAATAAAAACACCTCCTTAATTTAATTTTGTGTGGTTGGTTCATTCATTCATCTAATCTGTTTTGATTAATTTCTGGATAATGATAATAGGTGTCTGTAAATGTTTAAAAAAAAACAAACAAAAAAACCCCCAAAAACTTGCCAGTGTGATTTCAGTCAATGTTTAAATAAAAATAATAGGACATGAGATATTTATGTTCATACTATTGCAGTGTTTTCAAAAGATGGGACAATGATTGTGCTTGTGAATACTGGGGAGATAGTGGCTTTATTCATTTTTATTCAGAAACAATATTTNGAAGAAGAAGAAGAAGAAGAAGAGAGGACGGAGAGTCTGACGGTCACGCAGCAGTGAACGCAGGGAACGGGGGGCTGCAAATTAAATACACTTAAGTGTTGCGTTGAAGGTCCTGCTGCACTGTAGGAAATCAGAATTATCCGTTATGTTATCAGCAGTTTGTTGCAATAAAATTCAACTCAAGTCAATTTCAGTACAATATGGTCACGAAAAGATGCACTTTTATTTCTTTTTTTTTTTTTTTAAAGGACAATTGGCTTAATAAGTGCAATGCTTTCCACTAAGGGGTTAAACGGGGTAGGTGTTTTTTCCAAAACCTGAGTGTTATCAGTGGGTTCAATTGTCCCTCGTCGCCCTATGCTCTACTTTATAACCAGTACAGCACCTTCAAATCAATAATTTATCTCTTGTAAAGTACTTTCAGTCTTGGCAGAAAGTGATCGTTGCCCTACATTGTGACTGAAATGTTAATAGCTCATCAAATTAACCCTTTTGGTTGTTTTTGACCTTCATGAAGTTTAGATTGTAATGATTACAGTCCACAAGGTAACTGCAAAAGAATGAGTTCTCTATTATAGGGTAAACTGGGGCGAGAATATCTATTTCCTTTTTTATATAGTTATTTTAAACATCACGATATGTGCTCACATGAACACATTTCAGTCAGAGCTAAAAATGTCAGAACTCATCTCCCTTGAACCCTTACACGCTCTCCTAAAGGATCGACAACAGAATTCCATTCAGCAGTGCCTGTGTTTTTAAATTGTTACCAAAGTCATCACTCCTCCTGCACTTCATCTGCTTACTGTCTACACTTTCCATTTTTTAATGTTTATTTTGTGATTGTTTTGTTGTGTTTATTTGTGGACATGTGCTGCTGCCTTTCTTGGCCAGGTCACCCTTGTGAAAGAGGTTTCGATCTCAATGGGTCTTTTATCTGGTTAAATAAAGGTAAAATAAATAAATAAAAGACGGCACTTAAATCAAAATGGAATACAATTTTGTTATCATAAATCTAAATGTGGGCTGCAAGGTGGTGCAGTTGGTAGCACTGTTGCCTCGCAGCTAGAAGGTTGCCGGTTCGCGTCCCGGAATCTTTCTGTGTGGAGTTTGCATGTTCTCCCCGTGCAGCGTGGGTTCTCTCCAGGTTCTCCGTCTTTGTCCCACAAGGTCCACGTCACTGGGAACGTCTGGCAGAGACCCTTGTTCATGGGGTTTTTCAATTCCGGAAGAGTTTCTCCTGCATCCCGGGGAAGGTTGTGGACATGTGGACATGGAGTCAGAGTGGGCCATGTTCATAGCCTCCATTGCAGAAACAGCTGTTAGGAGCTATGGCCAGAAGGTCACTGGTGCTTGTTGTGGCGGCAACCCCAAAACCCGCTGGTGGACATCGGCGGTGAGGGAAGCCGTCAGGCTGAAGAAGGAGACCTTTCAGGCCTGGCTGGCTTGGGGATCTCCTGAAGCAGCAGGCAGGTACCGGCTGGGCAAAAGGGCTGCAGCTGCAGCGGTCGTGGAAGCTAAAACGTGGATGTGGGAGGAGTTCGGGGAAATATCAGATAAAATAATAATCCAATTCCCCACTGTACTGCCTGTAGGCACAAAGGTCCGATCACACTTTAACTTGTTTTATGGCACTTATCAAAGTTGTTTTCTCCTGATGAGATCCTTGCTTGTGTTGCATCTACCCTCAGATGTACACCGATTTGGATAAAAGTGCCTGCTACATGAAATTGTACAATTGTAAATTGAGCAAAGAAGTTTTAGATTTACAGTGTGAAAGCAGATGGTGTATCATATTCAACAGAGGAAACAATATGTTGTTATCGGGGCTTTATTTACAGAAAAAAATAACATTGTTGCCCTCATCTTTTGCTTACATGAGCTTGAGTTAACTTTCAGTGATAAGTGTTTCTTAATCAACAAAACAACAGCAAAACTTTCACAGCAACTTTCATTTATTTTTCTTCTATAAAAGTTCGTGTTTGCAGCTTCTCAGTCAGCATTTCTTGGGTTTTTATTTCTCTCCAATGATAAACTCTGACTTTGATTGAAAAATCTGCAGGAATAAGATTTTCAGATCAGTCCTGGATTTTGTCTACATTCCGGGCACATCACGCCAGTCCATTGCAGTGGGACACCGGGAACCTGCTTCACAGACAAGAAGGAGGAGAAGAAAAAGAAGAGACGATGGAGAGTCCGACTGTCACGGAGCCGTGAACGCAGCAAACTGGGGGGCGGTTATTGTCAGTCAATGTTAAAAACTCCCTAATGATCCAAGTGCACTGTCGGAAATCTGATAAATAAACTCCGTTCCAAGCTGATTGTGAAATACAATCCAACTAACAAACTACCATGCAAAAGCGACTATGGCAGTGATGAGGTGATTACAGATTCGTCATTCATGATTATGAAGTGCAGAATGAATTTAGGTAAACAGTTATACAGTTATAAATGTGAGACGCCAACAGTGGTCATTGTATAAACAGCAGCAGAGCTACAGTAAAAGTGTGTGCATAAAGTTCAGTGAGATAGCCCAGGTCAGTGTGAGTGTGTACAAGAGTCATTGACTTGCCTGCAGGAGAACACTGTTCAGCAGCCCATGGGATGATAGCAAAGTACATGATTTATTTATAGGGAAGACCAGGGTGCAATATCTCCTTTAAGAATAACATCTTCTTTTAAAATGTTAGATTTTGAATATCAATATATGCACACAAGAAGGGAACTTGAGTGAAAAAATTAAGAGGAAAATGTAATCATAATGGACTAATATGGACCCCAGCGCATGCAGCTTTATAAAGACTTGTGGAAGCTGTTGTCATTCATTCCAGTATTCCTTCGTGTGATTATGCAAGTTTTGTTGAACAGCCAAGAATCTCCAGCCAGAGTCGTTTTGTGAGTTTTGCAATTTGCATCAAGTTTTCTCATGTCTAAGGAACAAGTTTGTGTGAGAGCCAGCACTTAGGTTAGGAGCACCGTCCCTTGTAGGTAGGGTTAGAGAGAGCCCTCCCTCCTTATAAGCGCAGGTGAGAGCCATTAGTGCCTCTTTGTTTGAGGCCTGGTAGATGTGTGGTGGGATTGCTGTGTCTGTGCAAGTAAGGGAGATTTCAGAAAGCAAGGAAGGTTCAAACAACAAGAAAGGTTTTGATGGGACTGCTGTGTCTGTGCAAGTAAGGGAGATTTCAGAAAGCAAGGAAGGTTCAAACAACAAGAAAGGTTTTGATGGGACTGCTGTGTCTGTGCAAGTAAGGGAGATTTCAGA